AGGGTGAGGGTGAAGGTGTGAGGTTCTTGTCTGGTTTCGCGACGGTGGATGGGGAAAAGGGAAATGGCAAAGGAAGGTTGCCGAGGGCGCTTGTTCCTGTAAATTTTTTTAAGGCTTTTTTCTTGGGACCCTCATATCATTCTCTCGTTTTTGTTTCTGCTTTTGAGGCACGAGACTTCAGGAAGGGTTTTTTTTTTTTTTTTTTTTTTTTTTTTTTTTTTCTTGGGGGGGTTAGGGAGTGTTTTAGTTGGATTTGTTAGCTAACTCAATTCATAGGGCTGCGGCAAGGGGTACGACGTCGTGATGCTCGCCCTGCACGGCTTCGATGTATACGGCTTGGAAGTATCCGCCAAGGGGGTCGAGACAGCCAAGCAGTACGCCGAGAGGGAGCTGAAAGAGGTTAGGGCGTATAACTTTGGAGGCGACGAGGCGAGGGAGAAGTGCTTGAAAGGAGGGTGGAAATCCGGGAAAGTGGAGATTGTGCAGGGTGATTTCTTCTCGAGGGAGTGGGAGGAGGAATTGGGAAAGGGGGGTTTGCAAGCTGAGGCTCGTGGAGAGGAAAAAGGTTTTGATCTTATTTATGATTATACGGTAAGTCGTCCTGACAATGCTTATTTTTTTTTGGGGGGGGGGGGGGAAGAGAGATTGTGAGATGAAAAAAATGGGCTTGGATAATGGTTTTGCTGATGACGAGATGAAAACAGTTTCTCTGTGCGCTGCTTCCCGAGATGAGGAAGGACTGGGCTAGGAGGATGAGCGAGCTGCTCGCTCCTGGTGGGGTCTTGGTTTGCTTGGAATTTCCGTTGTATAAGGATTTGAAGCACCCTGGACCCCCTTGGCCATTGAGGGAAGGGATCTATTGGGATTTGTTGGCCTGCGGCGGGGATGGATTGTTTGAGAGCGAGGAAGAGGTTCAGAGGGCCATGCAAAAGGAATCGCACGGCAAGATGGAGAGGGCGGCTCGTCTCATCCCTTCTAGATCGCATAAGGTCTCAAAGGGAACTGATAGGTTGAGCGTCTGGAGACTGAAGAGAGTTTGAGAAGACAACCCAACAAAAAAAAAAAAAAAAACCAGGTTTTCTTTTGGTGTTTCCTTGACTTGCTTTGCAACTTGATGCCCGATCAAGCAGGTGCTCAAGTTCGCATCTTCGGACTCAGGAACAAGGCACGTGGTTTGTAAGTCAGTCGTCGTCATCTGGCCCATGGCTTTCAGATTACAACAGTATGTCTAATACCTGACAAATGCCTTTTACTTTAATTACCCAAGTAGCGTTCTCCAATCGAAGGTGGTCTCGCGCAGCAGATCCTCCAAAGCTTGTCTCCTTCAGGGATGCCGCTCCACAATTAACCATTCGGTATTTGCATGCTCGCACCGCGAGGGTTATACCCCGCCTGCCCAAATACCAGGTAGCGAGAGTTGTGACAGCAAAAAACATGGAGTGAGGTTAATCAAAAATGTTAAAGCGGAACAGGGGGGGGGAGCCGCAATTCATCCGCCCATTTCATCCGGACGGGCGAGGCAGGTAGTTAAAACCTAACAGGTCCTTTGAAAGGGCTTCTCCCACCCCGGATGCAACAGTAACCCGGGGGGGAAAAGCAAGTGTAACGCTGCTCAACGGTTTGTTTTTTGTTTCTTTTTGGCGTAATGCATTAGTCAACTTTGTCACGTTGTGGCATGTCATATAACCGTCGGTCAAGGTTGGTATTTAATATGGGCTGGACTCATTCTTTGGGGAAGTCCAGGGGGTTGATTACCTAGGTGCAGTAGTGCACATACCTGTTCGCTTCGCTTGGGACGTGAATTTCTTGCATGAGGACTACGTACCTTGGATGTGTAAATACCGGGGAGGTGGCAGGATCTGGCAAGTACTGCAGGTTAGCTTTGACGTTTAATATCAGATTGAGTGTCAACGACTGGGGAGAACCAACCTTATTTCGTCCTTGGTAGACGGAGTCTCTTCCCAGAAAAAATATGATTGTTTTTCATTGACGGTTACTGGTTTTGTTATTGGCATCGGGGTCCGGACCATGATGACTTCAAAAGTTCCTCTCGGACGGTTCACTGGAAACAAAAAAGCTCCTGAAATTTAGGTTTAAATAGCCGGGTACTCCCTCCTCCCACCTAGGTGCAAACACAGATATCTTTTCAATTTCAAGACAAGCCTCAAGCCTTTGATACCCCTCTCCCTTCCCTCCCTTCCCTTCTTTCCTCCCTTTCCCAAACACAGTTTCCTTAAAAAGAAAAAAAAAAAAAAGAAGAAGAATAAGACCGGCCAAAAAAAATGATTACCCTGACAAAAACCCTTTTCTCCCTCCTCATCACGGCGGGGGTTACCCTCGCCGCAGACCAAAAGGACGTCGTCAAGGAGTTTCAGGGCGTCGGGCGGATCCATGTCCTCAACAGCTCCTCCCTCCGGGACGCCTCCCTCGCCTCGGACCGCATCGGCTGCCTCAACGAGCAGGGGCTCCTCACCCAGGACGACTGCGCCGTCTTTTACATCAGAAACACGACGTACCACACGCTCTCCTCCCGCCGGGGGGACTGCTCCTTTCAGAACGCAAACATGCCCGTCAACAAGGATAGCGTGTACGGCAAGACCTCCCACGCCTGGAGCTGCGGAGGACGAGTCGGGACGCGACCGTCCGCGGGCGGTAGCGACTACGACGGGCCAGCGCTAGAGAATTATTACACCATTGTGAGTAAACATCATCATCTAACCATACATGTAAAAACATTTTTCATGCTTCACCAAAAAAAAATTAGTAAAAATTGCTGACTGTTTGGGGAATGGAATCAGAATGGGTTCAGTTATCCGTTCGTGTGCAACGGGAACCTGAACTGCTACTACGATATCCCGCGGGAACCGACCCGCGACGAGACCGTCCAGCCCGTCTGGCAGTACTACTGGGGCGGCCAGCAGATGGGCATCACGCCCGGGCACATGCAGGTGCTCTGGCTCTGGGTGCCCTTGAAGAAGGGGGAGGGAAATGAGAATTAAAAGGGGGGATGGGGGGATCTTAATCTCCTGATTAGATATGAATCAGTGTGAAGGTGGTTGTAAAAGGGAAGACGACCTGATCAGGTTGAGTACCTACCTATCTAGGTTACCTGTGATGTAAAGTTAGGAACCTGTTTATTTCACGATGAAATTATGCTGCTAACCTTTTTTTTTTTTCTTTTTTTTTTTTTTTTTCTTTTTCCCTCTTCTTCATGTAATTAGTTTTTGTACATTTTGAATTTCAATGTATTCAAAGTTACTGATCGATCGATCCAAGTAAAAGTATATACATAAGGGTGGTAGGTACGCTGCTTTAATCAACCAAGCCACAAAGGATTTCATCATCCTTCTAACAGCTACCTTACTTAGGTACTAATAACCATGGCCGCCCTCTCTTCCCTTTCACTTGAACTGCTTGAAAAACTCCCAAGTCTCCGCAGGAGTCCAAGTATCCGCCGCTCCGGCGTCCTTGGGAATAGGCGTGTGCGGCCCGTCAAAAACCACAAAGACGACCGGCTTGTCCGGCTGGCACCCGCTCCACACCGTCTTGACGTGCGAGCTGCTGCCGCCGGCCGGCACCGCCGCCTCCTGTGTGGCGGCGCACCCGTTGTTCTTCACGAACCGGTCCCGCATCTGCCTGCCGCCGCTGATGGGCAGGACCTGGTCGTTGGTCCCGTGCTGGCCGTAGTAGGCCACGGGCTCGCTGCCCGCCGCGCAGCCGCTGATCTGCGGGTTCCCCGAGAGCGCGGCGACGGCCCTGATCTCCTTGCCCAGCGAGCAGGCCAGCGAGTACGACATGGCGCCGCCGTAGCTGAACCCCGTGCTGAAGCGGAGGTCCTGGTCCACGCAGAGGTCCGACTCGACCGTCGAGATGACCTGCCGGAGGAAGGCCACGTCCTCCCCGCCCTGGTTGCCCCAGCCGTTGTTGACGCCGTTGGGCACGACAAAGATGGCGCCCGTGCTGTCGTTGGCCAGCGGCGGGAGGCCGTAGTAGGGGATGTAGCCGTTGGTTCCCGCCACGACTTGGGAGGCTTGGCCGCCGAGCGCGTGGAGCGTCAGGATCAGGCGGTAAGGGTGGGACGAGTCATAGTTGGGCGGAAGCCGGACGAGGAATTCGCGGTTCTTGTTGTTGACTGTTAGGCGGAGCGGCGTCGTGGTGCTCGCAGCCGTGATGAGGGTGGGGGATTTGCCGCAGCCCGTGGATGGTTTGAGTGACAGGGCGACGGAGGATAGGAGGGAGACGAGGAGGAAGGAGAAGAGGGAGGAGGCCATCGTTACGGTGTTCCTTTAGACAGAACAAAGACAGCAGTGCGTAAGTTTGGCTAGCTGCTGGATGAGATTTGAACGCAACTTTTGGATGATTTTACTAGTATGGAGGCATACCTTATATGCATAGGTTACAGGTAAGGTGCCTACCTACCAACCTTACCTAGTCATAAGGGTTGAGGCTGGAGATGCCGTGGTTCAGAGCCGCGCATACGACAATCCATGCCGTCTTGATTGTTATCATTAATCCCCCCTTGGAAAATTGTTAAGAGAACCAGAGAAAGATGGTCTTGGCTTGATCAGGCTATGGGTTACGGGAGTTACTACTGGCGAGAATATGGGGGGTCCGTCGTGGCTAAATTGCTATGGTAACAACCCATCTTCATCCACACCAGGGTCTTTTCGGAGAAAAGACCGTTTGGACATCTTGGAGATGCGGGGTTCGGATGGGCCCGAAATGCTTCAATCTTGTCGTTTCATCATGTAGGAATCGGCATCAGAGGACGGAAGGGCTAATGAATCGAGGCAATTCGAGCGCATCCAAGAACCTTGAGATGGGATCAGAGTGGCATTTGTTTACAAAAGGTCAAAACAATGCAGCCTCCTTGCACTGGTACGAAGGGTTTAAGATAAAGATGCCCCTGATGATTGTAAAGTATACAAAACAAAGCCAACAAGAATTTTGCGTCTAGGGCACATAAATATTTATTTCAACTCTTGCAAACATCAAATACAGCGGGTTTAGCTCAGTTGGGAGAGCGTCAGACTGAAGTTCCACTTTGGTTCGAACCTTATCAAGGTCATCTGAAGGTCGTGTGTTCGATCCACACAAACCGCAATTTGTTTTTTTTTTGCATCACACATGGTCTTTTTTTTTATTTTTTTTATTCTTCTCCTGATTGATACCTCTCTTCTTTTCCACATTTGCCCCCTGTGTGATGCTTTCTCTGTATCTTTTGGATGTTGGTTGGGGGTTCTCTCATATTAGGGGATCATCAGAATTTTACATCTCGTGCAAACAATAGGAACTTAATGCATCAGGAAAATAACGTACCATATTTACACTATTAATACACACAATTAAACATGCTAGGAAACGAGAAAAAGAAAGAGAATCCAAAATTAAACCCAATCAAGGTCATCCATCCAATACAATCTCATCATTCTTCAAACCAAAGTTTACTTGGAACTTTTCCACAGACCGGAATTCCCACCACCAATCTTTCCGTTTCCGCCAAGCAAGCTCTCTTGAGCTCTCCTCACATACGAAGTGATATCGGTGTCGTTCCCACAATGCTCGCATTTATGCGTGACCTTGTCCGTGATAGGCACATGACCAATGGTACTCCCCTGAACACCCCACGAAGCCGTGGCGGCCGCTAGCGCAGGATCAATCGCTGCAGACCGGTCCTTAGACTGGGGCAAGGTGTTATTTTGAGCCTGGTTGGAGGAAGGGACGGGAATTGAAGGCTCAGGGGCGGACGGCTTACTCTGCTGCCACGCTGGCGCCGACGACACAACATCATTAGTAGTGGTTCCTCGAGGGCTCACATCACGCTCCGCGCCGTGAGATCGGCTGGTGTGCGGAGGGATGACCGAGTGTCTATACGACTCTGGCATCACCTCAGGGCTCATATTCTTCTCCTGGGGCTGGGAAGTATGAGGGGGCATGACAGATTCCCTGTAAGACTCGGGCATCACCTCAGGGCTCATGTTCTTCGCTTGAGCCGCGTTGGGGTATGCCGTAGCGTGCATGGTGGACCTGTCCTGAGTTTCGGGGTACGCAGCTCTCCCAGTCTCTGGAGCACGCAGGATGGTGTGGTGAATAGGAGAGTTGGCGTCTGTGGGGCTGGACGACGATGGGGGGAGCGGGAGATCCTTGCGAGCAGAGGATGCGTCAAGAGACTGTCTGGGCGGCATGTTGCTGGAGTATGTCTGGGCATTCACAGCAGGTTCACTGGTCCGACGAGTGCGCTGCTCCTTGGACTTGATCTTGACACCCGATGGGGTTCCAGACGGGAGTTTGTTGTACGGTCCGGAATCGGTGCGCTCGTTGGCAGGACGGGCAGCTGCAGCGGCAGTATTGGTGGCCGAAGATGTGGGCGGCTTGACGCCGGAAGCTGTGCCGGAGTGAAGATGATTGTAACCGTCAGTGCCACGGCCATGAGAGGCGACGTTGTGCTCAGGCGAGTGGCCGGCACCCTCCACCTTGACGCCAGAGGCGGTGCCCGAAGGAAGGTGACGGTAATCGCCAGACACACCCTTTTGGGAAGTCGTTGACTCTGAAGGACGATAGTTGTCGTGCTTCATGGCAGAAGCAGCTCCCAGAGCTCCAGCTGCCATCAGGCCCTTGGAGGCTCCAGATCCCGACGAGTGGGTAGCTTCCTGCTTGACACCAGAGGCGGTGCCGGAGGGCAGCTGGTTGTACTCGCCTGGCTGCTGAGTGACGACACCCCTGCTAGAGGCGTCAGACGCAGGAGCATGGGCAGGCTTGAGCCCTGCAGATGCCGCAGTTGGAAGAGCAGTAAACGCAGCACGTGGCTCGTTGTGGGCGTGGTGAGCCATGGTGGTCGATGTCGGGCCGGAAGCATGTCCGAATTCTGATTCTCCAGCGTGAGGCGGCAGGGGAGGCTCTCTGGGGTGCTCAAAAGGCGTCGAGACCTCCTGGATGGTTTCATGCTCAGGGACGTCGTTGCGCTTAGCCATCCCGTATCCACCGACGCCAGCCAGGAGTCCGGCTCCAGCGCCGGCTGCGGCGACTTGAGCATGCCTGACGGGTGCCGCAGCTGCATTGCCGTTGTTGTTAGCCCCCCGAGCACCGAGAGGAGGGTGTGCGGCATCAGCTACGGGCTTCCCAGTTTCGCTCATTGAACTCCTCCGGCTGGCATCCTTCAGGTTCTCCTCCTTCTTGTGGTGGTGCAATCCAAGTGCGCCGACACCGGCCGCGGCCGCGACCTTCTCTTTACGGTGCCTTGAGTGCTCCCTGTCCGTCGAAGGCTCTCGAGAGCCTCTAGCGCCCTCGTTTCTGCTTCCCTTACGCAGAACATTGCGTGTCTTGGGACTAGCTGGAGCAATACCTGCCATATTCTCCATGGGGTAATCGACCGACTTGCCCGCGGGCTCGTGGGCCGGCGTGTGTTCGTTGGGATCTTCATCCTTGTTCCGGTGAAAGCGTCCAAAAATCTTGGAATGCCTCTTCTCCTCAGAGTGCAGGTTCTTGTTGTGCTTGTCGGCCGAAGAGGAGCGCCTCTCTTCTCGCGACCTGCGGGCAAAGATACCAACAGGAGGTTGACGACCATGGTCCTCGCTGGTGCTCCTTGAGTGTCTGGTCTGCTGGGCGGCGCGAGTAGGCTCAGCCTGGAGCTTGTCCTTCTCGTGCTTGTCTGCGAGACCATAGGCAGCGGCACCAGCCCCAAGGCCGGCAGCAGCGGCTAGAGCCGGGTTCCTTGTCTGGGAACTGGATCTCTTCCGCTCGTCTTCGCGGCCAGCATGAGATGGGGCCAGGGGAAATGCTCGCTGGTGGGGTTGCTCAGGCTTGGGCTGCGCAATCGAAGTCTTGGAGGAGACCTGAGGTTCGGCACTTCGTGCGGCAGGGGCCGCTAGCAAAGCCTCACCATGGCCTGGTGTCTTGTAGTCGGCAGCAGATGGAGCAAACGACTTCTTCTGCTCGCCCTCGGCGATCTTGGGCAAAGGAGCAGCCAAGAGACCACCGCTAGCAGCTGGAGAGGATGAAGAAGGACCGGCATTTCCGGCAACTGGCGTGAAATTTTGACCCGACTGCGAGAAGCTGTGGCGTTGGCTCTCGGTGTCGTTGCTGCCGTGTCCAGCTACGCTGTTGTGGATGCCGCCCCTTGGAATGTCAGATGAAAGGCCGGCACGGGATCTTTCAGAATCTTCTGACCTTTGGTGGAGGCCGTGATGTTGGTCATGGTCGTCATTGGCGCTGCCGTGACCGACCACCGTGTTGTAGATGCCGCCACCTGCGGCCTTGGGGAGGGCTCCCCAGTATGGCGGGAAACCGCCATCGGTCTGCCCGCCGGTCCGAGTAGGAACGTGTTCGGTCATCGACTTGTCGGACCCGTTGTAGTCAATACCGCTCAACCGTGAACCACCTTCGCTCTGCCTCTGGGGAAACTCTTCTTCGGATTCGCGGGGCGGGAGCTTGGCCCTGGTAGTGTCCGCCTTAGGCACGCGTGTGTGGACATCGTGCTCGGCACCTCGCGAGGCGAGGTCGGGGTTGCGGGGGAGATCGCGCTGTCTGGGAGCCTCAAAAGCTGCAGATTGTTCCCGGCTGTAGGTACCTCCGCCAACTGCCTCTGAGGGAGCTTTCCAATGGTACTCGTTCTGTGTGGTATAGATGGGTTCGGAATCGGTAAGGCCTACACCGGAGTCCGTCACAGCGTGGCCGCGGGGATCTTCGCGGTTGTGCAGCTTGTTTCGGTCATAGTGGTTGTGTTGATGTGGCGCCTCCACAGGCTGTTGGGGCTGCGGGGTGGCGGTGGTCTCGTCCGAAGGGGTCGCAGGGGCGGAGCCGGGATATGCTCCAGGGAGATGGAATGCTGACGCCATGGTTGCGCTGCTATCGGCGGGTTATTATCAGGCTGTCAAGAACTGCCCCAAAGGTCATGTATTATTAGCGTTGGCGCTAGGGCGTGTAAATCGGATGCCCTCCTTGGATTGTTTTAGAAAGCGTTCACGAGTCGTGAGAATATGGAAAACATCCGAGATGGCCGACTGAGAGTGTGTGTGCGAGCTTGGAGGGGTAAATTAATAAATATCTATTCTTTTTGGCTGTGCACCAGCGTCATCTATTCTTTGGAAATCGGGTACTACGTCAACAGAACAAAATGATGGCCCATTGTTGGCCGACCCGTCGATCCTGCTCAAAAGTCGAGAGCGTTGACATCATCGTGGATGTCGGCGTTGAAAAATTGACCAATGGCATGTTGCACAGGTGGACGAATTGGGGGGTCGGGCTTGGCGCGATGCCCAAACGGGGGAAGCAGTGTCGTCACTGGTGTTCCTCGACACCAGCGATGTGGTGCCCTTGGATCAAAGTTCCAAGAAAATCCGAAACACATTGTGCGTCAATGGGGCATGTTATTCTGAATTCTTGGATGTTGCAATCACCCAATCACCGTATTTGGGGGGCACGGGGGGTAATAACTCGAGAGAAGTGTCTACGCAGAAGAGCTGGACCGAGACCCTACGTTTCTGGGACAGTACGTAGCCAGTGTGAATATTACCTGCCTTTCTTTATGTATATACCTACCTATATATCTACTCTGTACTACCGTCAGCTTATTATACGTAAGACACGCCGAATCAGCATTTGCTTCTTTCGGGAATATGCCCATCCGGGATATCCAGCTTTGTTGAGAATACGAGATGCCGCATGTGTATTTACATGCGGTACAGTGCAATGTCTCTCAGTGGTAGTATAATAAAAATTGCGATGGTATGGCTGCCACAAACACAGTGTGTGGGCTACGATTATAGTGTTGCTCGCACAAGCACACAGCCCAAGAAAATGTAAAAAAAAAAATAAAGAAAAAAAAAAATGATCAAAAGCTAATTCCCATTGCTCACCAAAAATAACCAACAACACAAAAAGAGAAATTTTCACTTCTCATTGACTTCAACCCATCCAGAACTCGAAAACGCCGACCCGCCAGCGCCCTCACCCTCCTTCTCCGAATCTTCCGGCATGACGTTCAAAGCAAACAAACTCCCGAATCCACTCCCCTCCGACATCAAGGACCCCAACAATCGGTCCTCTTCCCTGTATTCTCCCCCACTTCTCAGTCCTCCTCTTCCCCTCATGCTGCTCCCCCGCAT